TGTGAATGGCTCAACAACTGAACTTCGCTCTGTTAAATTGTGTTTTGCATAATAAAAGACTATTATTATTTCTTATCTTTTGTAACGTTCTGTTGAATAAACTCTTGGTTTGTGTAACTGACTCAATGCGCTCTTAGTGTTAATAGTTGGTACGTACGTGGTACCATTGGCATTGAGCTCATATCACTTTTGCTTTTGTTATTGAAATGACAGGGCGATCTTTACGAAAAATGTTTATTTTAATGAGAAAAGTCCAGTGGCTGTATGCTCTTTAGGTAAATTTATTTTCATAGAATTCTTTCTCGAATTCTTTTTATCGCGTTTCTTTTTAGGTTATGCCATATGTGTTAATATAAATTACCTATCTTTGTTTTACCTATATCGAATTTGAAACCCATTTATTGATAGGGTACGTAAGTTTGAATTACTTGGAATTAGGACTGATTTTGGCATTGTAGTTTTTGGATATTTTTTTGTACGTTACGAGCGTTGGAGTGATCTTATTAAAGAAGTACCGTATTCTGGATGAAATGTAAATACTCGCTTTCGAATTGAAGAGTGCTTTTCAGATAGACCCGTCTTTGAAGCCCTTTTAGTCATTTGAAGAGAATAGTTACATTACAAACCTTAGAAGTCTTTCAATAAATTTTACTGCAAACTTTTAGCAATCCTCATCTCCCTCGAAATAGTAGAAATCTTCTTGACCAATCCCTTCTCCTTATTGAAAAATCCCTTTATTGGAAATATCTTTAGGATTTTCCATCGAAATATGCCCGGGCAACTTCTTAGAAAGAATATTTTTAAAACTTTAAAAATCGTTATTTCTTAGTAAAGTAGATCTCGAAAAGGGGACCTCGGAGGGTTTTGAAATTTTGATATTACACTAATGTTGATAAGAGGAATACTAACTTCCTTATTTTGAATGGTACATCCTTCAATGCGCTCTTAGTGTGTTAAGAGAATGTAAGTTGGTACAAATAGGGGTTGGGGATATTATTTTTACCGTTATCGTAGAAATGAAAGGTACTTTGCGAAAGAATGTGGCAATCTAAATTTGAAAATCCAAAACCATCAAATTAAAATTTTTGATTGTTTTCGAGGTAAAGTTATTTTTATAGGATTTCTTTATTTTATATGGTTAATCACGTTCTCTTTTTAGGTTGTGCCATAATTTAATATCTTTCTTTAACCTATTACGAAATCCGAAACCCATGGTGTACGTAAGTTTGAATTAATTCGATATTGGTTTGATTATTGGTATGGTAGTTTCTGGGTGTATTTTATTTATTTATTTTTATTTTTGGAATCCTTCACTCAAGGATTTAAGATTGTTAAATATCTAATTTGGTACTTATTGATACACCGTGCATAATTATTGTTTATACCATTAGATAACATTTGTATAGCCTTTTCAATGATGTATGGCAAGTAGTTATATAATTTTTTCAGTTGGAGTAGATAGGACATACGGGTTTGATGGGGATGAGTTCTCTTAGGTATGTCATTTTAGTTCACCTTTTCTATCCTATAAACGGTTTTGGCCACTGTAGGGCCACGTCACTATATTGGTGTATACAGGGTGACAATTTGAAAACTTACCACCCCCCATATCTTAGTAAATATACGAGATATTCAAAAAAATCAAAATCCGTTTCGGTAATTCGGAGGGGGAATCACAATGACATAGTTGGCGACGCACCCCCTCACACCCCCTGCGCCCTAGCCACCCCAACTTTTAAATCTTAAATAGTGACTCCCCATGTGTGATACGTCATTGGAAAGCTCTGAACAAATGCTTTCCAACCATACCAAATAGCATTATATTTAGGTTAGTAATTATCGTGCAAATCAAAAAATAAACATGGAAAATCGTATTTAACTTGAACTTCCAAAGCCGACTCGACAGCAACTCATTTTTGACCGCCAGTTATAATCTATTCTCAAACTCTTGTCGAACCTTTTTTAATGTTGGTTTTGCAATATTTCGACATTCTTGAATTATTCTCTGTCTTAGTTCGTCTATGTTCGCCGGTTGCGTTGTAAAAATGACAGATTTCAAATGTATCATATTAGTTTATTTTTTGATTTGCACGATAATTACTAACCTAAATGTAATGCTATTTGGTGTGGTTGAAAAGCATTTTTTCAGAGCTTTCGAACGACGTATCACACATGGGGGGTCACTATTTAAGATTTAAAAGTTGGGGTGGCTGGGGCGCAGGGGGTTGGAGGGGGTGCGTCGCCAACTATGTCATTGTGATTCCCCCTTCGACTTACCGAAACGGATTTTGATTTTTTTAAATATCTCGTTTATTTACTAAGATATGGGGGGTGGTAAGTTTTCAAATTGTCACCCTGTATACAGGGTTGTCCCTAACAGGTCCCTTGTACAACGCGCCTACCAGGGGTTCTTGGTATCAAAATAGGACGATTTAACCCAACTTACCTCTATCCAAAAGTGCTTCGGTAAGGCGCTATCTACCGCCAAAGATTTTAAAAAAAAATCGTTATTTTTATTTTATCGGAAAATGGTTTTGCCGATTAAAATGAAATTCGGGATGTGAATGTCTAATGTAAAAAGGGTCTTTGTGATATCATCGTTTTGATTGTAGTTGCTATGTAGGTGGTAAAATACTGACCATCCACATCTGAAGAGGTCTAAAACTTTTTAACTACTATTTTGACGGTTCTGAATTTTTAGACACTGATAGACAGTTTACTTGCAAGCATTTTTTGTCTCTTGATGAATATCGCTATCTGTGATGGTTTACGAAAAAAAAAAAATTTTAGGCATGATGAATGGCATGCACCATACATGCGATTGTTCCTCAAAAAATCAGAAGATGGCTGTGAAACCTTAGAGTGGCGTAACGTTTGTTTGTTGTTTCTTAAACTTGAACAATTTACGTTTTGCTTGAAGACTTAAAATTTCATTGTTAAAATTGTAATATGGCCTTTCAATACAGTAACGCAGAGTTAACTGATATGCTATTAGTGTTTGGATACTGTCGTGGAAATGGTCGCCAATGCGTTAGGGAGTATACTCACAGGTTTCCAAATCGTCATAGCCTACTTCTTGCTTGCACTTATGGTTTATGAGGAACAATCGCATGTATGGTGCATGCCATTCATCATGCCTAAATTTTTTTTTTTCGTAAACCATCACAGATAGCGATATTCATCAAGAGACAAAAAATGCTTGCAAGTAAACTGTCTATCAGTGTCTAAAAATTCAGAACCGTCAAAATAGTAGTTAAAAAGTTTTAGACCTCTTCAGATGTGGATGGTCAGTATTTTACCACCTACATAGCAACTACAATCAAAACGATGATATCACAAAGACCCTTTTTACATTAGACATTCACATCCCGAATTTCATTTTAATCGGCAAAACCATTTTCCGATAAAATAAAAATAACGATTTTTTTTTTAATCTTTGGCGGTAGATAGCGCCTTACCGAGGCACTTTTGGATAGAGGTAAGTTGGGTTAAATCATCCTATTTTGATACCAAGAACCCCTGGTAGTTCGTTGTACAGACCTTTTAGGGACACCCTGTATATCCTCACTGTTAAATGTTAAATTTTAAATATCCAATTTTAAATGTTATATTGTGCATAGATAAACTTTTTTTTCTGGCATCTGCCAATGTAAAATAACATTCTATAAATCTGTTAAAATTCCTACAAAAAGCTTTACGAGTATATCGTATAATATACTACTGGGAAAGCGTAAAGCTCTTAATTTTCTTGTACCGCAACACGATGTTTATTTTTAAAGTATTTAAAAATACTGCGTGTGCTATAAAAACAACAAATAAAGTTAATAAGAAATGCATACATTTTATAAACCGAGTACCTACATACAAAATCGTTTGATCTCCATTGATAGGTAGCGATAGAAGCATAAACATTTCTCTCGAATGTCGGCTGATATTTGCACAACGTAGATTGGCGGGACTGTGTGAAATGACGAGGAAAATGTGATGACCAGTGCTATATTATATACTGCGGTAGGTATATAGGAAATCTATCAAGATGGTTTCGCACGACTACATACCCATTGCATTACAAGAATTTTTCATAAAGCCTGATGTGCATCGTCATGCGGCAATATAGAAATTGTTAACACCTTTTCAAAGCATTTCCACAATAAAAAAATGCGCTATTGTGGCCACTTTGTCCGTCCCTCCGTCCGTCCGGCTGTCCGTCCGTCCGCTCGTTCTATGAGACGCTACTAGTCCTTTATCTTAAGCGCTATTGTTGTACTTTTTTCGCTATTTGATTCGTTATGGTGTCGAGGCTTGCACCAAGGAAGTTGGAGTCTTCGACAGTCTTGGACGAGAGATATAAAAAATTATCAAAGTGTGAGATCGAAGGAACTTCAGCGGATTTTTGTGTCAGATCAGTATTCTATTAGCCAGTTTTGACTACACTATCAATGAGAGCTTGTTGAAGGCTACCACATTCCCTTTGTCTGGACCCACTTCCGACGTCCCGTTCACTCGCAATTCGCGTTTGAATGTTTGACTCCAGCATCAGTAAGATTTTGTTGGGGGCAAGGGCAACCACATTCGCTTTGTCGGTACACACTTCCGACGTCCCGTTCACACGCAATTCGCATTTTAGTGGATTTCGCTAAAAACCGTCCACAATTTTGCACTAAATTTTTGGGCCACTTCTCATAGCTCGAGCTTCTATTGGCGACACGTCAAAGAGAGGCCACGATTTGAGCTCTAAGAAACTTTTGGGCGCTCAAAGTCGATAACCACTCGAAGATGCGTGTCTTGCAAGTGGTGGTTAATTTCGCCCACGTTTTACACTAATCTACTACAACATTTATCATAAACATTTTTTCCATCTATCCTGCAAAGGGGGGGGCATTTTGGTAATCAAAATTTAAAAAAAAATTGAAAAAATGTTTAGAACTACATATGTTTTTTTTTTTTTTGTTAAGTACAACTTCGACTGCTAAGGTCTTTTCGTCTACTTCTAATCACTTGTCGGCATTATATTTTGTTGTACATATTAATCAATTTTAGGTAGTCAAGAGTACTTCTAATCCGATCATCGCTTTTAAGATTATCAGGTAAGTTTCTCATTAATTTCTTTTCAGCTCTTTGGTGGTTATGTGCTGCACAGTCGCAAATTATGTGCGTTACGGTCAGTCTCTCGTTGCAGTATTCACACAAGGGTGCATCGAGGCCCTTCAGCAGGTGCTCGTGTGTAACCTTTACATGACCAATCCTCAGCCTGTGTGTTTTGACCATATCTGCTCTGGACATATGTTTAATGTAAAACATTCCCCTTACTTGCCGTTTTATTGTGGTAAGATTTGTATTCGCCGCTTGCCATTTATGTTGCCATGTGTCTAATATCTTTTCTTTTAGATATGTAAATGCGTCCGTTTTTTCCATCACGTCAACGTCTACTTGTGGATGTTCAGAAGCTTCTCGTGCTGTTCTGTCTGCAAGGTCGTTGCCTGGTATACCTGCGTGTCCTGGCACCCAAATAAATATGATGGATACATTTTTGTTGTTTAGGTTTAATAGTTCTGATTGGGCCAGTTTAGTTAAAGCATTATTGGAATAAATTTGTGTTAAGTCTGTTAATGCATTTATATTATCGCTTGCAATAATAAATCTTTGAGTTTCAGACAACGAGGAACAGTGCTGAAGAGCTTTCCAGATGGCATATCTTTCTGCGAATCCTATAGTCGACTGCGGATTTAAGGTCCATTTATTTGTTATCTGCGAGGCGATCGCACATCCTACTCCATTTCCAGATTTAGACGCATCGGTAAATATGATGTCGTATTCTCCATACTCACTACATATAGTTGTAAATTTCTGTTGAAATGTATCAATTGGGGTTTCTTTGCGTCCGAGTAATAAGAGATCACTTCTAATTACTGGTTCTGATAGCTTCCATGGACTATGTTCTTGTATTTGTTCCTCTAATAAGGGAGGTAGCATTATGTTGTTACGCTCTATATATTCAGAGAAACGCACGACAGCTGGCCCAGTTATTGTTGGTCTCAACCTAAACATAGTTTGATCTGTTTCTAAAATGGAGTTATTCGGATGTGCTGGTAGGGCTTTTATTTTTGTGAAATACTTCATCAGTATACAATTTCTTCTTGTTTTTAGCGATGTCATACCCGATTCGCACTGTAAGCTATCTATTGGGCTGGTAGGAAAAGCGCCAAGTGATATCCTTATCGCAGAATGATGTATTTTATCAAGTTTGGATATAAGTGATTTTCTCGCAGACGAGTATACTATGCAGCCATAGTCAATTCTGCTCAGAATTAATGTCTGGTATATCTTCAACAAACTTTTCGGCTCTGCTCCCCAATTAGTATTTGCTAAGACCTTCAGGATATTTAGATCCTTGATGCATTTATTTTTTAGGTTTTCGATGTGTACCGACCATGAGAGCCGCGTATCAAACATTACGCCCAGAAACTTTACATAATCGCTACATCGTATAGGGTTCCCTTTAACGTAGAAAATTGGGTCGTAATGTGACCTTCTTAGCCTACAAAAGTGAATACATTGCGTTTTTTCCTCAGAGAAAGAGTAACCTATATCATTTCCGTTACGCACGATTTGATCTATGGCTGGTTGCATTTTTCGTTTTATCTCACCCATATCTGTACCGAAGCAAAAGATGGCAACATCATCTACATATATATCCTCGAAATATCTTGCTACGCGTTTAAAAACAAATCAAGTTTCATAAATCCCGATCATAGATACAACACACGTAAAAAAACTCACTTGTATCCTTGTAGACATAGGACAACACTCTTTCAAAAGAATTTGTTATTCCGAGCGTGCCAAATTTTCAATGCCTTACCGAGCAATATTAAAGAAATTACTTCCTTTTCGAAATTTAGAATAACGCTCAAAAACTTTTTGATGGAGCAGTCATATTACCACTTGAACGAATATCTCGAAAGATGATTTTATTGTTTTATTGTTCATTGTATGCTTTACCTTAACATTATAATTTATGTAAAATATTTATATTTATATTTTTACACATGACACATTGTTACGTACGTTCTGTTCTTATACAAGTATATGGAATGTATTTTGTGACAAATAATAAATATGATATGATATGATATGATACATATAGGCAAGTTCTTACAGCATTTGGAATGTTACGTGCAATGTCGTTAATGGCTAATGCAAATAAACTACAGCTTATGGTAGAACCCTGCGGAACACCATTTTCGAGAATTCTTATGCATGACAGTTTATCCCCAATTCTTACGCGGAACGTTCTATTGGATAGGAAGGATTGGATAAATAATGGTAAAGGTCCACTTATTCCTTCTTCATGTAGCTTTTTTACGATAACGTGTCTCCATGTCATATCGTAAGCTCCTTTAATATCGAACAGCACTGCTACCAGGTGTTGTCGTCTCATTAAAGCTTCCTGTATTGCATTTTCCATTACTACCAGATGGTCGGTTGTGGATCTATTCTTTCTAAATCCTGCTTGGTACGGAGCCAATATTCCCTTCTTTTCTAGCGTCCACTGTAGTCTACTATTCACCATTCTTTCCATAAGCTTACCAAGGCAGTTTGTTAAACTTATGGGGCGGTAGCTTGTTGGTTTCAATTTATCCTTTCCCGGTTTTAGTATTGGGATCACTATTGCCTCCTTCCATTCTGGAGGATATCTATGTTCTGCCCATATTTTATTAAATAGGTCGAGCACGGCCCTTTCCATTTCAGCAGTAAGATTTCTTAGCATCTCATTGGTTATTCCGTCTGGACCGGGGCTAGATTTTGTTGTCTTTTTCAGTGCAGCATGAAATTCTGCCATGGTGAACATAGCATTATAGTCTTGTTTAGTTTCTGATTCAAACGGTACATCTTTTTCTCTTTCTGCTTTTGATTCGAGGAAATCAGGGTCGTAGTTTTCAGAACTGCTCATTTTTGCGAAATGGTAGGACATAATGTTCGCAATATCTTCGGGTTTGTCCGTTAGATCATTTCCATTATACGTTTGAATGCAATGTATCGATTGGTCTTTGTATTTTCCACTAATTGCTTTTATTTTTAGCCATGTTTTCCTTATATCGCTATCTGATGTTATTGTCGACGTATATTCGTTCCAGCTTGTACGTTTACTGTTTAAAATTACTTTTCTGCTTATTGCACGGGCCTTTTTAAATGCAATTGGTTTTCTATTGTGGGTTGTGCTCGATACTTCCTAAAGGCTGACTTTTTCTTTATTATTGCATCTTTGACTTCTTCATTCCACCAAGGCAGTGGTCTTTTTATTGTTTTAGTGCCGGATTTTGGTATGCTAATGTTCGCAGCTTTTATTATAGCATTACTTATTGAACTAACATTGATATCATCAGGGACTACTAGGTTTTGCGTAAAATTAACCCAGTTTCCTTTGTGTTGTAACCATCTACTTATAGTGAGTTTTTTATTTACAGACAAGTCCGTTTCAATGACAATAGGGAAATGGTCGCTGTTGTGCAGCTCGTCAGCAACGCTCCACTCCAAGTGTGGTGCTAACCCTGGGGATACGAACGACAAGTCCAGGACATCAAAGGACATAGATCGAGAGTTATGGTATGTGGCTGCTCCTGTGTTCAGTAGTACTATTTGGTTTGTTGTTACCCAATTTTCTAAAAGGCGACCCCTGGTGTCTGTTTTGTTTGAACCCCAAAGCTGATTGTGGACATTAAAGTCGCCGACTAGGATATATGGCCGTGCCAGCTGCTCAATCAGATCTTCAAGTTCTTCAATTTGCCAGTTGGTTTCAGGTAAGTATACAGGGTGATTCCTATAGTACCTGCCACCGTTTGGGAGCGTGTAGGTGGTGCGTAGGGGAGTATTTTGATATAGGACACTTGGGGTCGGAAATCTAAAATAAGGGTGCCAGAGCCAAATTTACCTTCTGGAATTTCGCGCCTGTAGGTAGGCAACCCAACCGGCGGCGGTGCACACGGAGCGATCTCAGGCGGCGATGTGTGGCTGACACTTGATCAGAATTTTGTTTAAACCCACGAAATCCCGTCTGCAACGACGCGTATCAAGTGAATAAACACTATGGCAATAGTATATAATAATAGTTGGCTAGATGTAGGAAGTGCATTGAGAACAACGGTGGCCACGTTGAACACTTGTAAACGTTATTGCTTTTGACTGTCGTTTTTCCTCCTTCCCTCCCATGTCGCTTCCTCGCGCTAACTCGCTCTGCATCGCTCCGCGCGAAACGTCGGTCGGTTGGGTTGCCTACATACAGGCGTGAAATTCCAGAAGATAAATTTGGTTCTGGCGCCCTTACTTTAGATTTCCGACCCCAAGTGTCCTATATCAAAATACTCCCCTAGGCACCCCCTATACGCTCCCAAACGGTGGCAGGTACTATAGGAATCACCCTGTATGTTACATATTGACAGTTTCATTGGATAGTCGATTTTAATAGCTACCGCTTGAAGAGTCGTATTTAATACCACCTGCTCAAAGTGCGCACAATCCTGAATCGCTACAGCCACACCACCAGCTGCTCTCTCTCTGTTAACACAGTCTTTTCTGATAATCTTATAGCCCGCTAAAGCGTAACTTTGGTTGTGTTTTAGATGCGTCTCTTGGATACAAAAACAGAAAGGGTTGTACTTTTGTTGCAAGAGTTTCATATCGTAATGCCTATTCTTTAAACCTCGACAGTTCCATTGTATGATATTTTGATGCGCCATTGTATAATCTATTTTTATATTTGGTTACTTAAGTTAATGTCTGATATATTTATAGGTATTTACAAACTAGAACAATTACAACATGCATGTGTAAATAGACAGACGTATTTACAATTGGATTAATAAATAATTAGACAGACATATAATGATTTTAAAACTATTATTTTTAAATATCACAGTTAATCTTATATCACAGTTATTTTCTGGGTTTGCCCTTTGGCCAACCCTTTTTCTTCTTTTGGCTAAGAGTTTCATCTCTAGCTTTATTTAGTTCCTCTTCGCAAATACTAGGAGATGATGCTTCACTTTGGGTATCTTTTCTTTTCCTTTTTTCTTGGTATTCGGCATCCATAGCTTCCCCATCGGTCGATAGATCTGTATCCAATCGTAGCGAAGGTGGAGCAGACGTCTGAGTTTCCCACCTAGTCGCTAGATTTGAATCTAAACTTAGTCGAGGAGGATCAGGTGCCCGAGGCACGCTGAAGTTTTGTTGCGAAGATATCGTTTGTTTCGTCATTAACGATATTTGTTGGGTTATTAAGCTCATAAATTTAGTTAACTCCGCTTTGATTGTTTCTGTAACCTGTGGTAGAAGTTCTGTTACAGCCGTGGGAGGCACAGAGGGTATTGTGGTGGAATGATTCGTTGCCGAAGTGATACTATTTGCTGTTTTCTCAGCAAATGACGTACTTGGGGTCACTAATCTCTCCGCTTTCTTTTTAGCCTCTAAATACGGAATCCTAGTGAGCCCTGACAGTTGGGACACACGACGGGGACTTCACAATTATTGTCATGTGGAGTTTTTCCACAGACACATACTTTTTCATTTTTGCAATTTGCAGACGAATGCCCAAACTTCTGGCAATTAAAACAGCGCAATGGATTGGGTATGTACGGACGCACCTGCAAGGGATAAAAAGCAGCCTGTATAGTTTTGGGCAGTTTCGGAACATTAAAGGTGAGGATGTGGTTTGCAGTGTCTACAAAGACACCATCGCGCTTTGTCCTAATCCGTCTCACTTCCACTACACCCTGATCGATCAGGTTTTCTCTTATCTCATCGGTTGAGCAGTTTAAAAGATCCCTACAAAATACAACGCCTTTTGAAGTGTTCAAAGCACCGTGGGGTTCAACCTCAATCTCCATACCTCCAAATATTTTACATTGTCTAAGCATTCTCGACTGTTTTGCAGAAACTGTTTCTACCAATATCTCGCCTTTGATTTTCTTAACATCTTTCACATTACCAGCTAGTCCGTATAACGTCCTACTTATTAAGAAAGGGCTTACATTC